GGTCCTTGATTCTGATTGGTTGAGCCGCGTTCGAAGCTGTTGTAAATTACTCTACAAACATACACCTTTGTTTACTTCAGTGTGTTGCTCGGCAACGACTTTGTTGGAACCACAACTGTTTCTGAGGAACTACATTGTTTGGTGGAAGAATTCTGTTTTTATTTATATAATTACACTTTATTTGCTCTGTTTTATTTTGTGAAACCTTACTACGTATATGGAATAACCGTTTTATAACAGCAATAAGCCCCGTGAAGCCGTGGTTTACAGTGAATTTATAACAGCTAAGGGGGTTTTAGGCACTCCACTTCGCGTTATATTCTTATATTATAAATTCAATATTATAAATTCACTGTAAACCACGACTTCTTGGGGCTTATTGCTTTTATAAAACGGTTCCAAAACGCTTAATGCTTGGATACAATACACATAAACCTAAGATCATTTGTTCATTGAACAAAAATCACCGTTTCAAAATGACACAACTTACTTAACATCAAAGTATTACTATTTTAAAATGCAACTCGATACAGCTGCTCAAAATGCTAAGTAACGGTTGCATTACTCTTGATGCATTGTTTTTATGGAAAATGATGAACAATATTAGACGTTTAGATTATGAAAGTGAAGCTGAGTATGAAGACTGAGTATGTTCAGGTATGATCAATTTCAAGAAAAATAATTCCCCAGAAGTTCTATATCATTGTTATCACTATTTGTTTTTTCCTACAGTAAATGTCTACTTAAAGGGTAATAGAGCTGGATGCTGATTAAAACATTCATATTTTTGGATGAGGCAGGCTTTAACTAAAATGAACAAAAAAACCGGAAAAAATGATACTAAAATAACACTTTTTTTTTAAGGAGTCTTAAGTTTAAACTCTTACTCTGAAAGAATACTGATGCTAAAATCACAATTTTAATGTGCTTTTATTTTGACAAATTTCCTAACAAAAAAAGTCTCAGTCGTTCGTTATGACAGCATTATGTAAATCAAGATATATATTGAATATTCATTTAAAAGGCTGCAAAATCTTGAGCTGTTATAATAAGCGTGTGAGTTCGTACCGCACTGAAAC